AGTTTCCAGAAGATCTAACTGAGATCATTAATGAAGGTGGCTACACTAAACAACAGATCTTCGATGCAGATGAAACACCTTCTTTTGGAAGAAGATGCCTTCTAGGACTTTCGGAGCTGGAGAAGAAAAGTCAATACCTGGCTTCAAAGCTTCAAAGGACAGGCTGGCTCTCTTGTTAGGGTTAATGTAGCTGGTGACTTTAAGTTGAAGCCAAAGCTCATTTACTATTCTGACAATCCTAGGGTCCTTAAGAATTATGATAAATCTACTTTGCCTGTACTCCATAAATGTAAAAACAATGCATGAAAGACAGAACATCTGTTTATAAAATAGTTTACTTAATATTTTAAAGCCCACTGCTGAGAACTACTGCTCAGAAAAAAAAAAGATTTATTTTAAAAGATTATTATTGCTCAATGGCAATGCACTTGACCACCCAAAAGTGCTGATGGAGATGTACAAGATTAACATGCCTGCTAACGCAATATACATTCTGTAGCTCATGGGTCAAGGAGTAATTTTGATTCTTGAGTCTTATTAATCAAGAAACTCATTTCATTAAGCTCTAGCTGCCATAGATAATTTTTCCTTGGATAGATCCGAGTAAAGCAAATCAAAAAGGTTCTGGAGAGGATTCATTATTCTAGGTACTACTGAGAACATTCATGATTCATGGGAAGAGGTTAAAATACCAACATTAACAGGAGTTTGCAAGAAGTTGATTCCAACTGTCATGGTTGACTTTAAGGGGTTCAAAACTTCCATGGAGGAAGTAACTGAAGATGTGGTGGAAACAGCAAGAGAACTAGAATTAGAAGTAGAGCCTAAAGATGGGACTGAATTGCTCTAACCTCATAATAAAACCTTAACAAATGAGGAATTGCTTCTTACAGATGAACAGGGAAAGTAGTTTCTTGAGGCGAAATCTATTCCCAGTGAAGAAGATGCCATGAAGATTGTAGAAATGACAACAAAGGACATAGAATACTACATAAATTTAGTTGATAAAAAGTGGCAGGGTTTGGAAAGATTGACTTCAAGGTTGAAAGTAGTTCTATTGTGGGTAAAATGCTTTCAAACAACATCACATGCTACAGAGAAATCATTTGTGAAAGGCAGACCATTGATGTGGCAAACTTCATTGTCGTCTTATTTTAAGAAATTGCCACAGGGGCTCCTGGGTAGCTCGATCGGTTAAGCATCTGACTCTTGATTTCAGCTCAGGTCATGATCTCAGGGTCATGAGATCAAGCCCCCAGGATGCCCTCCATGCTCAGCAGGGAGTCTGCCCAAGATTCTCTTTCTCCCTCTCCCTCTGCCCATCTTCCTTCTTGCACTCACTTGCACTCTCCTCTCTCTAAAATAAATAAGTAGAAATCTGAAAGAAAAAAAAAAAGTAATTGCCATAGCCACCCCAGCCTTTGGCAACTACCACCCTGATCAGTCAGCAGCCATCAATATGGAGGCAAGACCCTCCACCAGCAAAAGATTATGGCGTGCTGGAAACTCAGATGATGGCTGGCATTTTTTAGCAACAAAGTATTTTTAAATGAAAGTGCATACATTATTTTTTTTAGACATAATACTATTGCACACTTAATAGACCACAGTATAGTATAAACAGCTTTTATAAGAAACTAAAAAATTCATTTGATTTGCTTTATTGCAGTGGTTTAGAATACCTCTGAGGTATCCCTGTATATCTGGCAAAGAGATGATTGTGATTGATTTGAAATATGGTGGTGACGTCGAAGATAAGAGAGAAAGTGGGGAAACATAAGAGGGCTAATGGGGTGAAACCCATGAACCAGTGTTCTACTATTGAAGAGAGTGAAAGAGAAGGAGGGGCCCCTGGAAGCTCTCAGAACTCAGCAATACACAGGTAGGCAGATAGATATTCCACTTGCTGAGAAGGGAAACTGCAAGACAAACTGATTTGGTGTTGAGAAGATTCCAAGGTCAGTCTTGAACATACTAATTTTGATCTCATTATCTCTTTGATCTCCATGAGACATGTTAGGTAGGTGATTGGATATTTGAGTCTGGTCAATCTTTAGACTTAACTATAGCAGAATCACTTGGAGATTTTGATTATCTGGCTCCACCCCAGGCCTAATATGCTGGAATCCTCAAGAGAACATTGCCAATATGGTACCCCGAAGTTAGATGCATTGGAAAAAATTCAGTCATCACTGGCTAGTTGCCCTAGTTAACCTGTAACCTCCTTGAACACACTGGATGCCTATAATGTTATGAATAAAAAGGCAGACCAGGTACTAAATCTGTTTATTACGTTCTAAGAGTAAGTGTGTGGACAAACCATGAAACATCGCTGAAAAAAGAGAGCCATATACAGATTCTTACATTTACATTGTCATACTTGTACCATATGATGCTGTCATCTTGGCCATAAACTAATTGATCCAGGTACGAGGCCCTAAAAGGCAACCACCCAATAATTCCAGTGGTCCTTGAGATGATCTTTCTTCAGAATCCAGCCTAACTGATACACCATTCTGGATGGTAATTAATTTACCAAATCATATTTTTCTCTTTGATCATAGGGGAGGGAAGTGGGGAAAATTAAAACTAGAACAACAGAAGCATTTGGATAAGTAGACCTGGACATGTCTCTGTTTCCTGAAACTTGGTGGAGACATAAGCGTCACTGTTACTGAAAGAGAAAAACCAAATGCACTTAGGAGACAGGAGACTAATCTGTCCATGCGTTAAATGAAACAGAAATAGGTGGGGTGTAGCATCCTGACCTCTTGCCACCTTGGCCTCTGTACCTGGTAACTCCTGACAACTGAGCAAAGGAAGGGGGAAGCAAGGAGTTTGGCCAGTTTTGTTTTTTGTTTTGTTTTGTTTGCTTTGCTTTGTTTTGTTTTACTAACCAGTTATTTACTGGGTCCTTCATAAAATCCTGGTTGGCCTTTTTGTCAGAGTAGTTTTTTTAGAACTATTAATCACATCTGCTTCTGCTTTGCTCTCCAAGCAAACTTTTTTTTTTTTTATACTCAATAACATATAATGATGCTCCACTGCAATTTGAAGAACTACACATTTCGGAGCAATTGTATTATCGTATTTAGCATCTCAATAACATTTCCTTTGCTAATTCATCTTTCTTATGATTGAAGCTTCTTAATATGCTCACAATGCACCATATGTTACCATAGCTTAATTTTGTCTTGAAATATTCATTTCTAGCTCTTGGGGACAGGTAGCCTGAATAAAACATGTGAATTTAGCTTTCTCTCTCTCTTCCTTTTTTCTTTTTTTTTTTTATCAGAAGCAGGAGACTTACCTAGGTATTTATTGGTTATCAAGAGGGCCTAAGTAGCTTGTAATAACTGCCTGGTAGCCTCTTGAAAGAATTACTATGCTTTCCCAAGCCTTTAACCCAGGACCAATATGACTGTCACTGAATGTTCATCTTGGAGGGACTGACGATAGTAAGGTCACATGTGAAAATGTGCAATATGACTAACTTCCCTAAATGTTAGGATCCCACATTCTTATGATATTTGAGAGCTAAATATAATGAAAGCTCCCGGGACTTCGATTTTAAGAATTTCCTTTAAAAATAATATTATTATTCTCTGAGGATATGAGAACAGTATTCCTTTATTTAGTTAAGCCATCCCAAAATAGAACAGAGGAAATCATTAAATAGTGAACATATATCTTTTACTGTTGCCCATTCATGCCAAAACTGATGTGTCTTAAAATTACAAGATGACTTACAATAGGAACTATATCTTCAAATGATTATATTTATCTTTCAGGAGAGGGAAGCCTGATAGTCTCAATAATTACCCTGGAATAAAGTACAATACTGGTGATTGTGTTATTTACTGCAGTCTTACAAACAAACAAACATGGTGTTTTATAGCTGCACAGGAAGGAAGTTTACTGAGAGTAGTTATTAATGTGTCCATTTATATTCCACCTTCCTGAAAAAAAGCCTCAAATCTAGAGAGAATACAGAGTGGAAAATTTCACTCCCAATTTAGACATTTCTCCAGACTCCAGAGGAAGCTGCTCAGCTGGCCTCTCTTGTAGTTGAAACTGAGCTTGATGAGCCACTGGGCCAACAGCCCAAGTGACAGGCTGGAGTAGGAGCTACTGGACAGAGCACACTCTGCCTCATGTCAGGAACATTTTTGTGTGAGAAATAAAAGAAGTAGGGCACAGGGGTGGCTTAGTGCTTGAGCGTCTGCCTTTGGCTCAGGTCATGATCCCGGGGGGTCCTGGGATCGAGTCCCGCATCGGGCTCCCCCCAGGGAGCCTGTTTCTCCCTCTACCTGTGTCTCTGCCTCTCTCTCTGTGTGTCTCTCGTGAGTAAATAATGACATCTTTAAAAAATAAAAAAAAATTAAAAAATAATAAAAGAAGCTTTCCCTGGAACTGGTGTCAGTCAGAATTCCGACACACTTAGATGTTCTTTTCCCAGTTCCAGTTTTGGGGGAGAAATTTGGGAAAATGCCAGGATCTGAGCTAGCATTTCTAGTTGTTATTTGAACAGCGTTACATGTACAGCGAATAGCTGTTTGATTGGGTTTCTTAGAGCTACTCTTGATACAAGGCAATGAGGCAACAGTTTACATTAAATTTGCCCCAAATTCAAGTTACTCTGCTTTGCATAAGCCAAGAAAAAAAAATGGCAATCATCTGGCAACACTGGCAAGAGTAATTAGGGATTCTGGAAAGATCACTTCAAAGAAAATATGTGAGGAAGGGTAAAAGAAAAATCTCTGTCATTATTTTGGGAAATGAGAATTTCCAGACTGAATTTCTGAGACATTTCTAGTTATTCCTTCTTCAGCTACCTATTTTATTCTTGATGAAACTAAGCTTTCAATGGATAAAGTAGCTTATTGAAAGTCACATGATCAAGCTGTAGAGCTGAGACTAGATCAAGCTTATGGTCCTTGCAAACAGACAGCCTGCCAGCCGTGAACTCAACATTCACAGCAACCCGGCATAGTCAGTACCTGAACAGTACCTTTCATGGCCGGTGGTGTGTACACGCTCTGCTTCCTTTGCTTCGGGGATGCATTTTGTGACTGTGGACAAGAGAAAAGAGGAAAAGTCTTATTTGAATAAAAATTAGCCCTGTGAAGGAGATAAACATTGTGCCACATTTCAAAGAGCTGATTCCCCTTTGTTATGTAATACAACTCAAATCAACGAGAAATTATACACATGTTCGCTGATAGCTCCGTTTTAACAGATATATAAAGCTATTTTATCAGAAAACCCTTCATCCCTTGCAGTCTTGAAATTACTCTTTTACTCACTTCATAGCATTCATTTATTTTTAAAAGAAAAAAAAAAGAGACACCAATCCCTTTTTTTTGAGAGAAAAATTGTAAGTACCAGAACAAAGTGTACTCCAAAAGCTATGTCCATGGAATAACTATACCTGCTCAAAGGATTTTTTATTGGTTCTGCATAGATAATGAGGGTCTTTGGTAAGTGATACCAGTTTGTAAACTTCTGGAATTGACATGTTCAGTCTATCTTCCCCATTCACTTGGAATTACAATGTGGAGATAATATTCTCTTCTTTTTTCAAAAGATAAATAAGTCCTTTCCTAACCAAGCTGCTGCATAACACTCTTACTTATGCACACGAGACCAATAAGACTCTCTTCTTACTGAAGAATGTTTGCATTAAAAATTACAAAAATCGCAACACAGAAACATATTTAGAGGCCAAAACAACAAACTATTTGTATATATGTGATATATATATAAGATTATTATGATAAAATACATATACACCATCTATACCCCAATCAGATTACGTCAAAGATTCCTTTTTAATCGTGTGTTGATTTATATTTCAATGTGGCAAAGGTAGGGGTCTTCGTCAATGAGTTTTAGTATCTAGAGCAATTATTTTTACTTTGATAAGGTCAGGTATGAATAGTTAGAAGACATGCTTTGGGGAATTATTCTATGCTTTGGGAATTTTTCTAGGTGTATTGGAAAGAATATACAGAGTCTGAAAAACTAGAAGCTGTTTCAATGACGGTAAATAGAATTTAAGGTATCTTTCCTTGTACATACTAAAGCTTATTTGCCTTCAAAGGTATCATCAAGTTATAGACATTTGCTTGATGCAAAAACAATATATTAAAAAGTAAAAAAAAAAAAAATTCAACCAAATCGTTGTCAAATCCGTATCAACCAAACAAATGGTACGAGCAGATTTCTCCAGAATAGAAGGTCTTAGTACCACCAGTTTATTATGTTAAACATGTGGATGGTTGATATTTCTGGCGTTCCTTTACTGTATGCAGTCTCATCTGGTTGATTTCAAGAAGCAATCATTTTGGGATTTCTTGTATATTTCCATATATACATTCAAAGATCAAGTAGAAAATTAATCCTACAGGAAAGTTTGTTTAGCAACATGTAGTAATACTTACTAAGCAATAAAAACTGCTTTATATGTATGAGTTCTGTTGTCAAAATATTTCAAATACACAATCTCATTAAAGTTTTAGAAAAGTCTCGAGAGATACTATTCGGTATTTTGTTCTTTCTACATTTTCCTCTCTGGGTATTGCTCTATGATTAATGCAGCCATGGGAATTGGCTAATATGTCTGCACACTACGTGATAGTTGTTCTATTCCTGAGCATGAGTTTACTTATGTCCTTGTATTCAATTTATCCTACATTATCAGCTGCCCTAGCCTCCCCTGGTTCCTATTTTCCACAGGAACTCTCCTCTGAACTCCTACATGCGTAGGTGAACCTCTGGCCTCGGGGTCTGCTCGTGGCTTCACAGACCAGCAGACCCTTCCAGGGATGCCCGCTCCCCAGCTTCTTGCTCCAGGATCCGACTTTGGCTGGCCCTGCCTGTAGTTGGTCATAAACAACCTGTCACTAAGTTGAACATATCAATACCATATCTTGCCACTAAAAGCAATGGTTTATCCTACCAGTTTTTTCAGGGGTTGGCATTTTGTAGGTTGACAACCAAAGTACCATAGGGGCAGAGATCTAATGACCCCATTTCGTTGTTTCTTTACTCAGGAAAAGCAAACCAGTTTTTACATGACATATTTTTATGAAATATTAAACCTAACTAATCGTGTTTGTAATTTAATTTTTAATGAACACCTACTTATACAAAATATAAGAAAACTTACTTCAGCTTGTGTGTTGGTCACCCTCTTGTCATCTATTTCTGCAAGAGAAGTGGATATAATTCGTTAGAAAATGGGTTTCATCTTTATAATATGCATATTAACATTTGCAACAATTTGATAAAAATAATTTAATAACTGCCTTGTGTTTCTTTTTAAAGATTTTATTTACTTATTTGACAGAGAGAGAGAGCATGCATAAGCAGGGGGAATGGCAGGAAGAGAGAGAAGCAGGCTTCCTGCTTTGTAGGGAGCCCAATGTGGGGCTCAGTCCCAGGACCCTGGGATCATGACCTGAGCTGAAGATGACCTGAGCCAGAGGCAGATGCTTAACGAACTGAGCCACCTGGATGCCCCACCTTGTGCTTATATGACATCTGTGGCTTAGGGAAAGGGGGAGAGAAGATGGTTTTCTTCTAAGATAGCCTTTTCCCTAAGCTTTTTTTTTTAAAAAAAAAAGGCAGTTAAAAAAAAAAAAAAAAGGAAAGGCATCCCTTTTGAAATTTCAAATTGCCCTCCTTCCAGTAATCCAGAAAGGAACCAGGGAAATGGCCCTTGAACCAACTGTTGGTGCCACCAACCTCGCAGTGTTAAGGCGTAAAACAATCTCCTCTGTGGATCTTGCTGCCAATCTACTCACTGCAGCTTGTCAGATTTCCTCAAGTTTTCCACTAAGCTGAACAAAGCTCCTTTTCCATTCCTCTCAGTCACTCAGACTCTGAGAAACCCTTTTTCTATATGCCTCTGGAAAGAATCAGTTACCCTGTCAGAAATCTTCCTTATGACAAAGCAAGGGAAACATGTACCCTGTCTGTGGAAAGAGGAATGTGAGAAAGGGGCGGGGGAGGAAGAGCGGCTCACATGCTGCCCTTCCACACAAGGAGGGCCTGCAGGGCTGAGTTTCTTTCCTCCCTCACTTACTTTCCTTGGATCCTGATTTTTTTTTTTTTAATATTTACACATTTATTTGACTTCCTTTAAAAATCTGTCCCTCTCTCATCTGTACTGCAGGGGCTGGGTTTCTCCACGTTTCAAGAAAACGAGACTTGGAGGGGCACATGTGTGGCTTAGACAGTTAATGGTCCCACTTCTGGTCTTAATCTCCGGGTTGGGAGTTCAAGCCCCAGTTGGGGCTTCGGCCTAGACATAGAGCCTACTTAAAAAAAAATGGACTTGGAGACTGTCTTCTGCAATCAGACTGCAATCGGTACTGGAGGTGGTCGGGGTGGGCTCCCACCGGGCAGGAGCAGTGGGTAAGGTAGGTGCTCAAGGCTGCAAACCCCCGAGCTACCCGGAGTCCCAAAGGCACCTGGCTTCAATCCTCCCGAAACGTGGAGCGTGGAGCGGTGCAGAGCCCCGACCTCCTTCATCCCCCGCCTTTTAGAATGATCGCGGGCCCGGCTGTCCCCGCGGCCATGCGTTGCAGGGAAGCCTGCGGCCCTGTGAGGCGACCGTGGGCTGGTCTCAGGCTGCACGGGCAGGGGCAGGCGCCGGGGCAGGGGCAGGGGCAGGGGTCGGGGTCGGAGCAGGGGCAGGGGCAGGCGCCGGGGCAGGGGCAGGGGCAGGGGTCGGGGTCGGAGCAGGGGCAGGGGCAGGCGCCGGGGCAGGGGCAGGGGCAGGGGTCGGGGTCGGAGCAGGGGCAGGGGCAGGGGCCGGGGCCGGGGCCCGGGCTTCCCGCAGCAGGTGACCGCGACCCTCCTGCCTCGTCCTGCGTCTCTGCGCAGCGGGGCCGGGTCCGAGCCACCCGGAGCGGACCCCCGGGGGGCGGCGGGGAAGCGAGCTGCGCCCAGGGGGAAGCCTTCGGGGGCAAGAGAAGAGCCGCGGGCCTGAACCGCTTCTGCATTTTGGCTCCACCTTCACGCGCAGAGGAACGTGCCCGAGCGCGGGCCCTGCACCCGGGGGGCGGGGGGGGGACCTCGGAGGCCGCCCGAGGCCCGAGGCCTGCAGGTGGGGGGGGCGCGTGCTCGGGCCGGCGCGGGTCTCGCAGCTCCCCCCTCAGGCCCCCCCGCCCCGCCGAGCCCCGAGCCCCGCCCAGCCCGGCCGCCCCTGCTCGTCCGGTAGGCGACCCCGCCCCTTCCCGCCCGCGGTTCCCGGCTCCATGTTCCCAATTAGCAGCAGGTCCTACCCGCCGCACTTGTGGGGGCGTCGGGGCCCGAGCGCTGCCCGGAGTCGCCCCCAGCTTCGCGCTTTCCCGGCGGCCGGTCCACTGCGGCCAACCCGGCATGGGGTCCCCCCGGGGGAGGGTCCACGGGGGGAGGCCCCACGGGGAAGGGAGGGGGCAGGGAGGGGTCCCAGGTGTGGGAGGGGCCGGGGCCCCCAGGTGAGGGAGAGGGGCGGGGCCCCCGATGAGGGAGGGGGTGGGGCCCCCAGGTGAGAGAGAGGGGCAGGGGAGGGTCCTCAGGTGAAGGAGGGAAGTGAGGAAGGGCCCCAGGTGAGGGAGAGGGCAGGGAGGGTCCCCAGGTGAGGGACAGAGGCAGGGGAGGGCTCCTAGGTGAGGGAGGGGGCGGGGAGGGCCCCAGGTGAGGGAGAGGGGCAGGGCGTGGGCCCTGGGGGTTAGGAGGAGGCCGGGGCAGGGGGAGGAGGCTGAGGTCATACACCGTGTGCGTGGGCTCCAGAGCCCGCCCCCTCCCCTCGCAGCCGCCCGGTGGGGTCTCCCTACCGCCTAACTTAGGGGCCGAAGCGGAGAGCGTGAGCTCATGGAGGAGTTCCGCAGAGTAACTGCGGAAGGACAGTGATGGAGATCTGCATTTGTGGACATGAAAACGTCGTATGCGAATTAGAAGGACTTCAAAACTGTAGGTATGGTATTTTTTATTCCATAAAGTATAGATGAACTATCTGGAGAGAGATGATAGAAAAATGCATGTGTATTCTTCTTCCAGTGAGCAGGCATTACTTTTATAATGAAAAACTCTATGTGTCATGTGGATCTATAGAAACAGAGGTATGTAGTAGAATTTCTAGGTAAGTCCACAGTACAGAACATTGGCGTTTCATACAGTAAGAGACCAAAATGGACAAGCAGCAGCACAACATAAATGCATGAAATAAAATAAATTTTAAAAATGAAAATTAAAAAAATAGATAAGCAGTTAGAATCACTAGTATTCGGCACTATTATTTATGCTGAACTTGTGTCTTGATCAGCAATATTTGGAAGTTATGGAACCTAATAATGAATTGACCCGTGGCTTGTACAGGGGTAGGCAGACAGGAGCTACTGGCTGAGGACAGCAATCACAGTTATTTGATAAAATCGCTGGAAGTAGATTATATGGGTCATTATCAGACAGCTGTGAGTACAGTGGATGAAGCAGTTCTATCAATGCAAAATCTTTGCTGTCTTTTAAGTAAATATCAGCTATGATCCACTTTAACAGTGCCTCTTTGTGACCTACTGGATCGTTAAAAGCCAATGTTTTGTTTTGATTGTTTTAAAGATCTATCTATTTATTTTAGGGAGAGAGCAAATGGGGGTGGAGCAGAGGGAGAGAGAAACTCAAGCTCACTCCACCCTGAGCAGGGAGCCCACTCTGGGCTCCATCTCAGACCCTGAGATCATGATCTGAACCGAAACCAAGAGTCAAAGGCTTACCCAATGTGCCACCCAGCTGCCCCGGCCCCTAGTGTTTCTTAATATTTTATTTATACCTCAGGAGTTGAGAATTCAGCCCAGGACTCAGAACCTATTGTTTTTTTTTTTTTTTTTTTTTTTTAAATATTTTTTTTAATTTTTTTATTTATTTATGATAGTCACAGAGAGAGAGGGAGAGGCAGAGACACAGGCAGAGGGAGAAGCAGGCTCCATGCACCGGGAGCCTGATGTGGGATTCGATCCCGGGTCTCCAGGATCGCGCCCTGGGCCAAAGGCAGGCGCCAAACCGCTGCGCCACCCAGGGATCCCAGAACCTATTGTTTTAAAAGCAAAATGGTGTCCAGTCATTCACCTTTGTGCTTTTTAACTGTCTGTGTAACACAGTCTAAAAGAGTGTCTTTCTAAGGCAACTGTGTAGACGTTACTCGTTGCATAATTCAATGAAAAAAGGCTTTTATTCTTCTTGGTTAGTTTTTCTTATTAGTATTTGTCTTGAACTGATTAGGTTAGCCAGATAAGTCTTTTTAAAAAAAATATAGAATTGTAAAAAAATAAAATAAAAAAAATAAAAATAAATAAAAATAAATAAAAATAAAAAAATATAGAATTGTATTCTATAGTATAAGCCTGTTTTGCATGATTCCAAAATAGCTTATATTGCTTTTCTATTATGAACTTTTGGGGAGTTTCAAAAAAAGAAACATAGATTACATTTTGTTGAGAATTCAAACATATGTTTTTTTCCCACTTCACGCATTTGGAACTTGTTCTCATTAGTTGACAGAAATATCGTCTATTTTAGTCTCCTGATGAAAATTATATTACACATTTATTATATGATCAAATGATCATTTTACTTTACTGAAAATATTAGAACATGATAAGAAAAACTGCATATTTTGTGATTTCAGTCATTTCACACCAAAAGGCAAAAACAAATAACTAATCCTAAAATATGGTAGATGATTTCAGTCATTTCACACCAAAAGACAAAAACAAATAACTAATCCTAAAATATAGTAGATAATTTCCTTCCGTCAATTTACAAAATTGCAGGTTGAAGCAGCGAAGCAACATTCTGCTGTATTGTTGCAATGATCTCACATTTGTTTTATTGATGTGGGAGTGTCCCTGGGCAAAGTAGTGAGGCCAGTCGTCATCCAGTCCAATGGAATTCACTACAGTAGGATTGAATTTCACGAAACCACCACTATTGTGTGTGATGACAAGTGTCTCTCTCACACACCCCACCTAGATTATTTTATTTATCAAGGCATTCCTTTGGCATTATCTACACATAACTACACAGACCGGGCTAGAGCCAAATATGCCTGCTCAAATGGGAGGAAGGAAATTGAGATTTCCCAATATCCTTTTCTTTCTATGGCAAAGGCTATAGGTTTGTTTTCACTAATTCTTATTTCATCTGACCAATTTTGCATGGAG